TTGTAATCAGTATTGTTATCGATTTTGCTATCGATTTTGCTTTCGATTTGATCATTTGATATCAATATTTTCATCGATTTCTTTATCGATGTTTTTATCGATTTTGCTACCGATATTATTATCGCTTTTGTTATCGATATTTTTTGCTTAGTGTGTGCTTTTGTTTTTTTACTTGGATATGCTCTTAACCATACCACGTATTCTACGTTTAAATTTAGCGGCTGTATCTCCGATACAGCCTGCAGGCCAAGACGAAGGCGCTGGACTGTTCCTTTTTTTTTTTGTCATTCCGTTATTGGAAACATTTTTTTGGTGATGCATTTCCGAGCGTTCTTTTTTGCAGTTCGCAAACATTTGGTATGATGCATTTCCGAACGTTTTTTTTTCAGTTTGCTTTTAATAAGGTTTTAAACAAATTACTGTATAGAATTAACAATAACAATCGCACTGTCAAGTTTAAATAGCGGCAAATCAGCCCTTCGAAATTTTCTGCTGGGCTATGCGTTACAGCTTCGCAAATTTACTCCCCCTAGCGAAACCAAAGATGTGTACACATAAAAAAAATATCTTTCCACTGATACCTCATAAGTCTATAGCGGAACTTTGGAACACTTATTAAAGTTTCTCTTAAACAAACTTTTGAAAAAGGTTAAAAAAAAAAACAGCATCAAAAATCTCATTATTATGATTCCATTGAAAAAAAAAGTTTAATATTTTTATGTAACTTTTTTAAGCTTAAACTGTTTTGTCATCTGAGGGGAGTTTTTCCAAATCTCCTTTAGCAACTGTGTAAATAGACAGAGAAATCAAGTACCAATATATTTAAACCATGTGTGGTTTCTCTGACAATATGTTTACTGTTAAGTTTCACTTTCATTATGCGGAAATGATCAATAAACAGCTACTTACTTACAGCCGATTGGTTTCTACAAGCTACCGTTATCAGCCAATTAACATCTATTGCTTTACACCTACTCCACCTACTTTGCGGATACTCAAAATATATGTATGTATGTATGTATTAATGAGAAGTACATACATATGCACATGTGTATGTTCACATGTACATCTAAATACTACAAACACTTAATGCTGATGATGAGTCGTGGTCCGAATGGAGCATACACTTTGAATTCATTCGTTCGTAGTAGTACGGATTCAGTTTTGTAGATTTCACGATTCGATTTCGGACTACAATGGTTTCAGCGATAGCCCAGATATTCTGAGATTATATGTATGTAAACATTTAACTGTTCTTCCTTACCTCTTCATAATAATATACAAATCGCACACGATCTTCAAAGGTAACACAACTCAAAATTACACGTTTATCAGAAAATGTGAAAATCTTAGGTTTTTTTCAACAAATTATAACAAAAATTTGCTCCAGCTTTTGCTGAAAGGTAAAGTTTTAGCGCATAATGCCAAATATTGAATTGTGTCACTTTTAAAGATAGTGTGCGATATGCACGTGCTTATTAACACGGTGTTTGTTATACATACAGTCTCGGTCATGTCTATTGCATGCCATTTCAAAGTGATATTGTGTGCCACTTGTGTTTATTTATTTATTTTTAAGAATTTTGAATTAAAACAGTTCTTTCTCTAACAAAACCCATATAAAGCGGAGTTTGACAATTTGTAGAAAACTGCAGAAAAGTGCAAACATTTTCACCCAAATTTCGAACTTTTTTCTCCGAAGTGTTCGATTTTTTTTGAATACACCTTTTTATAGCCCAATCAATTTTAGTCTGATAATGTGCAAGTTTCAAGTGGCTAAGAGTTACCGTTGATTTTTAAATTTTTTTCGTTTTTTTTCGTTGTTTGTCTGAGAATGAACTACTATATTTTAATTGCAAATTTTTAAAAATAAATAAATAAACATAACTGGCACACAATATCACTTTGAAATGGCGTGCTATAAATATGACCGATACTGTACATACATACATATGTACATAATTGCCCATAATTATGAAAGTAGTATTAGAAATAGCATACCCCTTGGACTTTAATTATCGGTAGCATGTATCCAAATGCGTTTGTAAATCGCTCTGTATGTACGCATGCAGTCATATACCAATGAGAAAACTGTCTTAAATTACCTGATGACGCAAAACGACTAACTAACGCGTTAAAATGCATTTAAAAGATATTTTAAGTATAAGAGGTATGCAATTACTTTCATAGAACACTTTTAAAGTTGTGTATATACATACATACATATGTGCCAGTTACTTAAGATTTAAGAAATAAGACAATGCAATCAATATTAGCATTAAAATATTGTTATTTAAAATGTATGTATTCACTTTGCTCAAAACCTTGATTTTAAAATGTTTAACACAAACACTTAAGGAACCATGATCGAATGCTCAATCAAGCGGCATTATCGCAAAGTAGTTGCGATACATGTATCTTAGTTGCTCAATTTGCTTATTATTTTAGCAAATTTGAAATAAAACACCTTTTTAACACTGTTTATTTATTGAATAGCTTTTAATTCAAACATTTTGGCAGATATTAATAAAACTGCAACTAATGTGACGGAGTTACGTTTTTAATGTAAGAATACATTTAAGTTAGTGATCGTGCCACTCAGAGCAGAGTGTATATGTCGACCTCAATAATCTGACAGCAGTTAAGTGGGGGGTCCTTATGGCCTAAAACCTAAAAACAAGAAATGCTGTTGCAATGGTAGCAGCAGCAGCATTGAAAGACTTGACTGCAACGCCAAAAATAGCTGTTTATATGTGGCGTGTAAAAATAGGCCACATTCAACACAGTGACCCTCCACGGCCTTCAAAAGCACTGTGTATAAAGTGCGCCACTGGTAGCAATGAAAACTGTTGCGTTTTGCGAGTGATATTCCATTTGTAATTAAAAAAAATCGAAACTATAAAAAAACGGCACTTATTATTAAAATATACTCTACAACTTATTGCTTATATACTACCAATATACTTCATCTATGCCATACTATGCCATCAAATTTGCACGTATCCAATCGCCTACGGCCTTCTCCACCACCGGTACATCAACGTCATTCGTTTGCACGTTACAGCTTACTATAAATTGTCGCTTGTATCGTTTGCTCCACAGGTCTGCTAAACGTTGTGAATTGGCTCCATGTTCCGGCCCAAATAATGTTGTGCTGGACGGTATCATACCTTCACCCATGGCTGGAAATGCTATGCCCATTTCATTCAGACTTTCTTTTCCTTGATGGGATATGAAAACCATTGTAGCGGCATTCATACGCAACATGCGTATGGTGAGCTTTATGCCCTTAATATCCAAATTTGTACTGCAGGAGGTAAAGCCGGTGTCTTTCCGATTGTGGTTAGACGCAGCACCGGCGATGTCATTTCTTGATTCGTTGAAGCTATCTGCGTCCGCCATCTATGCGAGAAAAGGAAAATGTTTTTTTGTAACGAACCCCTTATTTAAAATGATTTCCTTACCTTTAGCCTTTTTTCTTTAATTTACAATTTCATTTGTATGGCGAATCAAGTCATGCAACAAAAACAAACTAAACAAATTGTCAAAACCAGAAGAGATGCCGGACTTACAAAATGGAAAGTAGCGGAATTTCTCAGTTTTTCGGAGCCCTCGTGTGTCTACTTAACCGGCCGTCTTCACATGCTTGCAAATCTCGCTTGGTTTCATGAACCAAAAATACAAGATCACGGAAGAACGCGAACCCTGCAAAAGTCGCGACTACTCCATGCATGCGTGTAAAGAGTACTCCGTAAGGATCGAGGAGTACTCCAAAATTAACCACAATTCATATAAAAAATATGGTCCAATTAACATTGCGATGTCCTAGGGGAGGACCAAATACTCCATCCCTGCATTACACAAAACTACTCCAACATATTGGCCCGTAGTCATAGTCAAAATAAAGTCGACTTTAAAGTTAGTTGCAGCTTTTTGACATAATTTTCAATGCGATATCTGTCAAAAAAGCTGCAACTAACTTTAAAGTCGACTTTATTTTGACTATGACTACGGGCCATTAACAATGGCATTGTTGTTATATTTTTTCGTTTGTACACGCTTTTGTTCTTCACTTCTCAAATGCTTTTTCGAAATTAATAAAAACCAAGCCAAAAATTAAAAATTACATGTTGCCTCTGATGGCATTCGAACCCGAAAATGCTGGGAGCTAAGAACTAACAGTGAGCATCTCTACACGTTCAGCTACAGCCAGACATGCAAATGTGCTTTCAAATGCTCAACTTCAATGACATTTCGTTAAAACACGAGCAGTGATCGGATAACAAACAATAAGCTGGCGCAGAGACACGAGTTGGTCCGATACAGCATGACAGAGGAACACTTTTGTAAGTGCTCCAATTTACCACAAATAGACTACATGGTCCAACGATTTTTGCAGGGACGTTGTATTTGTAACTGGTTTTGAGAAAAAAGTTTGCGAAAGCGGGTTCGTCAGCTGGGCGTTTGTTTACATCACAAGCACCACTATTTTAGACTTTTATTCAAGTAAAGAAGAGTTAATTCAACATGACAACACATTTTAAAGCATTTTGTTGCATCATTTTACCTAAATTGTGCGTTTAAAGTGGCTGACAATAATTTTGGCTAATTTTGGTTTTCGTTGTTTTCTTTGCTTTGTTTACTTTTCGCTCGTTTTCCAGTGAAACAAGATGGCGTAGAACCCGCTAAAAAATCGACTTTTTTCACTCTCTTGTTCTTACGTGATCTTGTGTCTTTCGTTCATGGCTTGGTTTCAGTTTTTTTATTCTCGTAAGCGAGATAGATACGGAATTCCTTTAAACTCGTAGTCTTAAACCGTGTAAAACTCGTAAATTTACGAGGCTTTTATGGGAACGCCCCCTTTGTGAAAAGATTTAAATAGGTGCGTAAAGTTACTGTTTGACAGATCAACGAGGATTTTGTGAAACAATTTTTGTTTCGTAGTATTTTCCATAACATCCCGCCATCTTGTCTTTATCACTCTTGGCTAAAATACAATTAAAAATGACGAAAAATGAGCAGAAAACATAAGTCAATACAGTTATGGATGGGATTCATTATTTTAGCATTCATTTTAGTATAAAAACTTCGACCCCTCGGCAACTCTGAAGTTTAAGAGCTCGTTACGTTTGTTTGCGCATCAAATTTGCCAGTTCTTTTACAAGGCTCGTACATTTACGAGGCTATTAAGGCTGATTCACATACAACTTTCTTCGGTTTGCTTGATAGTTCTTTCCTTTGACATATAAGATCGATGTAGGTATATGCATGAGTATGCTCACATAAAAAACGTTTGAACCAAATCAAAGCAAAACGAAGCAAAATCTTGGGCAACTCTCAACTTTTGTCCGCTTTGGCAATCAGCTGTCTACATGTATCTTTTCTCGTGCGCTTGCATTTGCATCAGAAAATTTTATTTTAAATAATGGAAGCAAACAAGAAAATTAAAAATTGCTGAACACCCAAAAACCAAATTGTCTTCAGAGGAGCAGTTTATAAATAATCAAGACAACTTTTCCTGTAGTACCGGTAATTAATATAAACTTCACTAAAAAAAAATCTCTATTTTAACTTACTTTTTTCTTCTTCCCTGTGTATTCATAGCAAAGAATAATAAAAAATAGCAAACAACAACAACAAAAAGTGGAGCTGCCGTTGAAATTAGGTAATTCGCGAATTATTTACGGTTCAAATTAGAGACGGCAGCGATTTGTTCGTAATTCGCATGATAGTTCGATCTGAATTACTAAGAAATTTCGTATGGTGAATTCCGTAATTCAAAGGGTAATTGGAATGCGAATTGCAAATGAAAGAGCGTACCATACAATTGGGGTGTCGCGGGAAAGCCGTATTAGAGAGAGTGATAAATTTACCATTTTGATAAATGAAGTGTCACACTTTATATGGAAATCTATTTAACCAAAATTTATCACTTTATCAAACGACTTTGGTGCATAAATGTATAAATTTCAGCAAAATTCATCCCTAACAAGTTGACAGGTAGTCGCTCTTGCTACGACCAAATAAAAGCAGATGATCACAATGGATGAGGTAAGAATGAAACGTAACTAGCCATATAAGTTAAATAATAAACAGTTTTGTGCAATCATTTTCCAAGGTGCGGTCATGAAATAAGGCGGATTATCTGATAAATTTAAGCAATTTTTCCCTTTATCCGTTTCGATGAAGACGCCTATTATTGAATCATGAAGGAACATTTCGCTTGGTTTGTCAAACCGCTTGTGCGGCGAAACAAGATGGCGTGGAACCCGCTCAAAAAATCGACTTTTTTCATTTTTTGTTCGTGCGTGATCTTGTGTTTTTCGTTCATGCTTGCTATCCTATCACTTAATCTGATGCCAGATAAAACTTTGTGGCTTTGCGTAACATTTATAACTTTGCCGGCAAAGCGCCGGACGCAAAAGGTATGCCACAGTAAACGCCAAGAAATAATTTTGTACTGCTTTTTTACTTGTCAAAATTGCTGTGAATTTTATATATTTAGCTTTAAAAATATCAGCAATGTTATTAAGTTTCCTGCATGAAAACTCGAATTTGGGCGAAGCAAAATAAATATTAAACCGGCTGATTGTTAACGTGCGCAAAAAGATGGGAGTTGACCATCTTTTCGATTTGCGCTGCAGCTGCAACGATCTATGTGGCATGCTTTGTGCATTTTCATCCAATTCATCTTGTCTGTTAAACAAAGCGATGCAAGCGTTTTATCTGGCATCAGCTTTATGTTCCGTAACCTTTATTCTCTTCATCGTGAAATCTTATGGTACATTTCGAATGCAACTTTGTTATTGTTTATATCCGAATTCCTGTACAGGTATCGGCAACACTGCCGCTCAGCTGTCATTTTTCTTACACGTGCTGCGACCGTTTGGTGATTTTTATTTATTGTGATTTCCTGGAATTCAAATTAAATAATGGCAAAAAACCAAATTAAAAGAAAAGCAACTGTCTTTGTTGAAAAGAAAAAAAACAAGGATGCTGTAGTCAAATCTGCAGACGAGGATGAAGAGGACTTGGAAGAGGTGAGTTAAAGCTTTTGGTCAATTGTTTGAGTACGCTGATGGGTGTTTCGCACAGGATCTCTTGCAAAAAATTTCAAATCAAGATCAAGATAGTACGGATGATGAAGGTGTAAATGAGAACTATCAATCAGATGAAAGTGATGAATTGGAATTTGAAAGTGACGAGGAAGGCAATTATGCATCTAAATGGGATGAAGGAATTGAGTCGGAAAACGACAGCTTCGAAGAGGAAGAGTCCGCAGAGGAAGGTTCCGAAGAAGAAGTTTCAGAAGGAGAGGATGAAATAAACGAATCAGATATAGAAGATATATCGGAAGAAGATAATGATCACAGCTCGGATGAAAGTGGAGATGATTTTGGTGATGAAAGCGACAATGATGGTAATACAAAGGCGACTACCAAGAAAAAACCAGAAAATAATATAAGCGAGAAGGAAAACTCTCCAAAGCCGACCACATCTAAAGGGGCAAAAAAGGCGCTTGACGCGCAAACCCCTGGAACAAGCCAAGCGTTTAACAACTTCCAGAAGGAACTCAAAGACACGAAAGAAACCCATGCCGTCTCAGACAAAAAAACGGAATATGAGGATTCTGATACCTCAGATGAAGAAGACATACGAAATACTGTGGGCAACATTCCGATGCGTTGGTACGATGAATACAAACACATTGGTTATGATTGGGATGCAAAGAAAATTATTAAACCACCCAAGGGTGATCAAATCGATGACTTTTTGCGTAAAATCGAAGACCCTGACTTTTGGCGCAGTGTAAAAGATCCACAAACCGGACAAGAAGTTGTACTCACTGATGAAGATATTGCACTTATTAAACGCATAAATTCGTCGCGCGTACCCAATCCAGTACATAACGAATATGAAAATTGGATAGAGTGGTTCACATCCGAAGTGGAACGTATGCCTATTAAAAATGTTCCCGATCACAAACGTTCTTTTCTGCCATCTTCATCGGAACGAAAGAAGGTTTCGCGTATGGTACACGCCATTAAAATGGGTTGGATGAAAACTACGGAGGAGGTGGAGCGCGAAAAGAAAGCTGCACGCGGACCGAAATTCTATATGCTCTGGGAAACCGACACCAGTCGAGAGCAAATGCGACGCGTACATGATCCGGTGTCGGCACCGAAACGTGATTTGCCCGGCCATGCTGAGTCTTATAATCCACCACCAGAATATCTGTTTGATGAAAAAGAAGAGAAAGAGTGGTTGAAGCTGAAGGATGAGCCACACAAGCGGAAACTACATTTCATGCCGCAAAAATACAAGTCTTTGCGCGAGGTACCTGCTTATCCACGCTATATACGTGAACGTTTCTTGCGTTGTCTGGATCTGTATTTATGTCCACGTGCAAGACGCACCAGATTAAACATAGATGCTGAATATTTGATACCAAAATTGCCTTCACCAAAGGACTTACAACCTTTCCCAACAGTGGAGAGCTTGGTATATCGAGGACACACTGATTTGGTGCGTTCAATTAGTGTTGAACCCAAGGGAGAATACGTTGTTTCAGG